TTAAATCTGTGAACCACCACAATCCACCGTGCATCATGCTTTCAACAGGACAATTTGCCATGCCTCTTAAACCAACAAAGAATGATATAAATAGAGGTGCTTGCGCCAACGGCACAAGGATATTCTTCAGTGGATTAAGTCCTTTTTCTTTCATAAATGACATCATTTCTTGTGCATACTGTGCAGCTTCTAACTGATTACCAGTTTGTCTTGCTTGTGTCATTTTAACTTGGAGTAGCTGTATTTCAGGCAAATTGTTATTCATAACCGCAGCATTCCGTTGTGACATTATAACGAGAGGGAACATAACTGCTCTTACAACTATTGTACCAATGAGAATTGCACCCCACCATGGTACATCTAATGTTATGTGGAGATATTCGAAACAATTCTGTACGATACCTACTGGTCCCCAACCACCTAGACCTAAGCTGGCAAATGACGGTTCACCGTTTGCGGCTAAAGTTTGCACTGCTTCAGTTATTTCACCAATAGATGAGGCATCTGGCACAGGAGGTGGTTCGGGTATGTTATCGATTAAGGGTACTGTTTTTCCTGCATCACTACCACTAGATGCAAACCTCACAGAACCAGCTGATGAGTAGCAGTATAAAATTTTGGCTCGTTTAACCTCAAATTTTTCATAACGCAAATATAAAATGCCACTACGTCTTGCATGACGGTTAAGCAACTTAAACATTTCGTATTTCGAAAATTCAATTAAAGTCGTTAGATTTGTTTAATAATATTAGTATAATGTATTAAAGGCAAAATTATTTCACAAGACTTGAAAAAACATTGCCGAATTGTTGACAGATTCACTGACAATTTGTCAGTGACAAATGACAGTGACAGTGACAACAGTGGACAGCAGTACCAGAAAACAAACTCAGGCTTCCATCATTCGCCCACTTGTGTTTCATTTTCAATTCTCAGAAATCCTTTATTGCATTTAATTGGAATTTTTTTTAACTTAATCTTTTAAGTTTTTGCCATTTAATTAACTCACCATTTATTGTATTCAAATTACAATAATTTTTTTAAATGAAACTTCTGTGAAAACTGCGTCAATATAAGTTTGACAAATAACAAAATGTCATTGTCATTTACACGTGAATAACAAAACCAACGTGCATGTTTAGATATCGAGTATATTAAAATATTTCTTATCGCGTAATGTTACTTTTTTATGTTTAATTCTTATACTACCTAAAATAGAACAAACATGGCTCATGTTTCATATCCATTTAAGAAAACCAATAAATCTGTATATAAAAAGCCGGCGTCTGTACTTACTGAAGATAATTTATACTGGAAGAAATTAGGCGTAAGTCTTTTCTTTTCTATTACAGATCTTCATGCTAATTGTAAAAAACCTAACAGTTGATGATTATTTCAGCACCCCGTGTTAGTGAAAGAATTTGGAGCAATAGACTACCTAGATTTCTGTCCTGTAGAACCGTATTATTTTGCTGCGACTTGCTCCGTGAGAATACAGGTAAAACACAATTTCACAAAATTAACATACTTTAACAACAATAAATTGCTACAAATAATAACTAACTTTTTATATTCTAGATTTATGATCCAATCACAAAAACAGTTGCGAAGAATATCTCGAAGTTTTTAGAAGCAGCTTATGGTGGCTCCTTTAGAAATGATGGAAGACTTTTGATAGCAGGAAGTGAGGAAGCAGCTGTAAAGTTATTTGATGTTCAGTCTAAAAATGTTTTAAGAGTATTCACTGGTCATACTGGACCTGTAAGTAACAATATATTTAAACCTTTTTGTAAAGACTTGTTGAATATTGTTGACTTTGAACATTCTTTTCCAGGTCCATAGAACTTTTTTTACAAAAGATCAAACAAAAGTCATCAGTTTTTCAGATGATAAATCTGTATGTCTATGGGATATCGCCACAGAGGAGAAAATTACAAGTTTTTCAGAACATACAGATTATATAAGAGCTGGAGCTCCAAGTCCAGTATCACCTGATTTAATTTTATCAGGTGGCTATGATCATATAGTAAAGCTATATGATTGTAGAACTAATGAAGCTACATTATCTGTGAACCATGGAAGTCCTGTTGAATCAACAATTTTCCTACCATCTGGTGGCCTGTTTGTTAGTGCAGGTGGAACTGAAGTCAAAGTATGGGATATATTCAATGGTGGAAAGCTCCTAGCAAATATTTCACAGCACCACAAAACTGTAACCACTCTAAGACTATCCAGTAATGCTAGTCGGCTGATGTCTGCTTCCCTTGACAGACATGTAAAAATATATGACATATCAACATTCAAAGTGGTTCATAATATTGATTTTCCTAATGCCATTCTTAGCATGGCTATATCAGATAATGATGATGTTTTGGCAGTGGGTATGATTGATGGAGTTATATCAATAAGAAAAAGGGAACAACCTTTTAGGCGTAAGGAAGAAAATAAAGGTTTATACAAATTTGCACCAGATCATATTCAAACTACGGCAACTGTAGATAATGTTGTAGGAAAACAAAAAACAGAGAAAGGACCAGAATTTGAAAAATTCCTTAGAAAAATGGAATTCGATAAAGCTTTATCATCTGTGTTAAAATCTTATGTGGCAAGTAAATTTCCAGAAAAAACCATAGCACTTTTACAAGAATTGCTTCGTAGAAAAGTATTGAATGTTGCAATAGATGGTTTATCTGAGAAAGATATTGGAGCATTACTTAGGTTCTTTAAAAAGAACCTAGGTGAAATGAGATTCACAAGAATCATAATTGACTCAGTAAATGTGTTTATTGATGTATTTGAAAATCAAATAAAACTCTTCTCTGAACAAAATTTATGGTTGTACAACTCACTCAAAGAAGAAATAATACAAGAAATTGATGTCTGTAAAAGGGCAAGTGAATTGGAAGGTGCAATAAGTCTTCTTTTGTCAGGAGCTCAAGTTGACTCTACCAGAGATATGATAGAAATTAGCGATATGCTTGCCCCATCATCTAAGGCACAAAAAGAAATAGTTATTGATGTTTAATAAAATATTGAGAACTGAAAGAGATTTTTAATTCTCCTTTCGCTCTTATACTATATCGCTAAAAGTTTACATTAAAAATATATGGTTTAATAGGAACCATTTGTTATATATTAAAATAAAACTTAATAAATCACTATTATGCTTTTATTTTATAAAATTCTTTTGAAACTTCTTACCATTTGTGCCAAATCGATTTTAGCTTATAATTTAAGGAAAATATTAATGTTATCTACAAGTCCATCATAAAACCTGTCGTATTGTATGGATCTGAATGCTGGGCCACCAAAGTTGCGGATGAAAGGAGATTGCATGTGGCTGAGATGCGTATGTTAAGATGGATGTGTGGTGTGACAAGATTGGATAAAGTTAAGAATGTGTACATTAGAGGAAGTTTGAAAGTAGCGCCAGTGGTGGAGAAATTGAGAAGCAAAAGGTTAGCGTGGTATGGACATGTTATGCGACGAAATGATGGGGACATAAACCAGAAAGTGTTGAAATTGAATGTGGATGGCTACAAAGGAAGAGGAAGACCAAAGAAAGTATGGATGGATTGTGTGAAAGAAGATATGCTTAAGAAAGGAGTGAATTCAGATATGACGGCTGATAGAGATGTATGGAAGAGCAGCACATACTGTGCCGACCCTCCATAAGGGATAAGGGCAAGTGGATGATGATTAATGTTAGTATGTTAGATAATCTGTGTAAACTTTGCTAATTATTATCTATGTCATCTGTCATTTTTTTCAGGTGTTGTCACAGAGTACTTTGTAACATACTGAAATAGAGACCAATCTTCGGCCTAAAATTGGGTAACACGAAGAAAAGCGCCATCTGTATTTCATAGTTTACAACTTTCTTTCTTTCTTGTTTTGTTTTTATTTTTTTTTATTGAAATGGGGCAAACGAGCGTTATTTAAAATATTAATATAGGTTATATAAATATCTAAATATCTATGTTATGAAATATAGATATTTAAATATTTATACACCTATATTATATCTGTTATAAATATCTAACCATTATGAAAAGATTTATATATCCACCCAAATAGTGCATAATACCAATTAGGAAGTAAAAACAACGGATACTGTTGGACGGTTACTTTCTGTCGTCCCGAGCTCTGGAGGTGTAGGGCTATTGAAACACTGTCTTCACATAGTTAACAAGTATATTATAAGTATCAACAATCACATTTTATACAATCTCATATTTCATATATCCTACGGTGTTACGCGGTACGTATTGAGATGAGAAATCATACATAAACATCAGTGACATCAGTTGTACAAGTTGTAGTACTTGATGCATACCTTAAAATAATAATCTGTTATTTTAATAAAAAATAATAAGGCTAGTGACTAAAACCGTAATACCATATGGCAATAACATTTAAAATCTGAGACTAATTGCCCAAATAAAATTTTCCCACCTTCTTACTGGTTACATCTTATTTAGTATTATTGCACTCATTAAAAGCATGCTTTAATGTACAAAAAAAGTCTAAGAGAGATTAGTGTAACAATTTACTACTTTTACTTTACTGCTATAAATATGGTTGTAAAAGAACCAAATACATGTTAAAGACAAAACACTACAAACAAATACTTAAGTAGTCCGGCAATGTACAGAGGCACTAGGCCATAGATGTGGACTATAGCTATAAATTCTCATTATACGAGAGGAGACGTCTTACTGCTGGATACAGACAGTGTTATATAAAAGTCTGTAATGTTGTGAAGTAAGTAGACATAGAAACAGACATACCTCCTCTTTCTTTAAAACCAGGACTGCACCTACCTAAATACTGTTGAGTATTTTCAATTAAACGATAATACAGAGTACTTTAACGATAAATAAATGTAATAGACATTTTACTTATTGAACTGACATCGAATTACAAGTGACAATTAAAAAGAAGTAAATCAGAGTTGAAAAAAGGTTTCATACAACAAATACACTAAAAAAAACACTACAAGAAGAGCTACTAAATAGCGGCATCTATCGTATATTAATTGAACTAGTAATTTTTTATTGGTAAAACAGCCATCTATAATGCCGCGTTGGCATATATAACAAATATAATACTACTAAAAACAATATTAGTCTGTTTCTTATTATCAAAATAGATTTAAGGTGCTCCGTTATATTGCAGTATTTTATCTTCGGATTTCCAAGTTAAATGTACTGAGATTGTGCACCCTGGGTGTTGTCAATTTGTGAATCACAAGTTTTCCAGGTTTTCTTTTACAATAATAATTATTTTTCCTTATTGATTTGGCGATACAACTATGGGTCTGAAAGAAGCGGCTATTTATTTAGATAACGAATTGAATACTTATTATGCTGGACAAACAGTAAATGGGAGGATTGAATATGTTTTCGATAGCCCGAAAAAAGTTCGAGGTAAAATAGGCAATCATTTAAAAATTGACCTATGAATCACTGTTTATTAATAGCGATGTTATGTTTGTATTGGTGAATTAGTGTTATGTATGTCTGTTTATAGGTATTCAAGTAAAGTTTAAAGGTGAAGCACATACAGAATGGAATGAAAGTAAAGAGGAATCAGATGACCAGGGTAAATCCCAAACGACGGATACTACGCATACGGGGAATGAAGAGTATTTTCAAATTTCGTACTATCTTCTTGGGAGCAATACAGGTCTGGTTCTTATCGGAGAATAGTATATAGTGAGGTCTGCTGTCGTACCACTTTTTTTGTTTAGTTTTGTACATTATTTAGAGGTTTAGTTAATGTGACCAGACTTATCGTTTTAAATAGAACTGTCCCTTTATATAGATACAAGTTTGTACCACCTAATTGATAATTTCACTCGGAATTATTAAAACCTTTTGATGAGGATAAAGACTTATAAGCTATTGATTTTTTTAAAGATAAAGTAGACTAGAGATGTACATTACAAAGTTATGAAGACTACATATAATTTTTTTTCTATGGAGGCTTTGTTGCAAAGCGACTATAACACTCTATAAGTTTAAAACTAGTAAAACTCAATACTCTAACCAACTACAGATAATAAAATTTAACTTTTTAATTTCAGGTAATGAAATAGAAATACCTGCTGGTAAGCAAGTGTACAACTTTACCTGTGCACTACCACCAGTGCTGCCATCTTCCTTTGAAGGTCAACATGGGTACATTAGATATACAATAAAAGTGATCTTGGATCGTCCGTGGAAATTTGATCAGGAAACTAAAATAGCATTTACTGTTATTAATGCTCTGGACCTTAATCTTAACCCGTCTTATAAGGTAAGTGTTAATAAGGAGTGGTTATTTCTATTAAAACCTAATTAAAGACATCAATATTTCTTTTTTAATCTTAATTTAAGTTCAAATAGCTTTTACTTGTGACTTTGTCTAACGAGAATTAAAAAAAAAATCTAAGTAGCCTGTGTTCTTTCTGATGGTATTATAAATAAAGAAAATATCACTCAAATCCATAAAGATTTTGGACATGCAATACTTTTTAAAAATATCCTTTCATCTATCTATATTTTTGAATTTCCAATATTAAGTAAGATTAGTCTGTACTGCATCTGTCCCAGAATTGTTCTTTACACATTATATATGATATTCATATCTATTTTACTAATAATTCTAGAATCTATTACAATTTTAATGTTTGTTTCATATGTTTTGGTATATTGTTTTGAAGAATTAGAGATGTGATTTGTGTGAATGTTGCTGCGGTTAAAAGCTATTGTCATTTTCTAACGTTGATGTTGTTTATTTCAGGGACCAATTCATATGCAGATGGAAAAAACGTTTTGTTGTTTTTGTTGTACATCCCTACCACTGTCGGTAGATGTGAGGGCACCAGTCTCCGGATACTGTCCTGGACAAGTGATACCAATACAAATTGATGTTGAAAACAAGAGTAATGTAGAACTGAGTCTTGTTAAATTATTTCTGAGGAAGGTATGTGTATTAGGGAGTAAAATAAGTTGTTTCACTCATTAATAATCTTTTTATTGTAATTAAAAAACCCACATATAGCACTTTTATGTATTCTTTTATACAGAATTAAAACTTAAGCATAAAAAAGCTAAAACAATCATTCATAAGGCATGTACACATTCAAACCATGCCCCTACACACAAAAACCATGTATATTTTTTCTATCAACTTTATAAGTACAACAATCTAGTTGTAATCTTTTTTTTCAAAGGAAGAGGAAGACCAAAGAAAGTATGGATGGATTGTGTGAAAGAAGATATGCTTAAGGGAGTGGATTCAGATATGACGGCTGATAGAGATGTATGGAAGAGCAGCACATACTGTGCCGACCCTCCATAAGGGATAAGGGCAAGTGGATGATGATTAACTGGTGGGGAAGGGATTGGCTCCTTCAACATGGGAACCTAGATCAGGACTCCAAGGCTCCCATGTAATATAATGTAATTAGTGAGAAACAATAAAGCATTTATATGTTATTTTTTAGGTTGTCACATACAGAGCGACATCTCCATCTACCGCAACAAAGAAGACCAAGGAGGTGATCCTGACTATCCAGCAGGGGCCGGTGGCGGCTGGGGCCACGGGCCACTGGAGCCTCACCATGGAGGTGCCTCCGCTGCCGCCCTCCAACCTCGTCAATTGCAGCATCATTGATTTAGATTATGATTTAAAGGTACTGAGGTTTTATGATCGTTTATTTTTAAACTGTTCTTTTAAATAAAGAGGATGAGAATAGACTGAGAAATTGGGTACATAAAGGAATTGAAATTAGATAAAATAATAATTAGACTTTAAATTAAATTATTTTCTTGTTTTTTATTTTTTATTATATTGTTTACAACAAACCATTTTTTGTAATATTAATCTTTTAGCTTTATTTATAGTAATTATATGTTATTTTAATGTTTTTACATAAATTTAATTTAAATATGAAAACAATTATTAACCATGGTTTCAGGCTGAATGTGAAGTACCGTTTATGCATTTTAACATGAAGGACAAGAAGTACATTACGATTGGGACTGTCCCACTGGTGGGCCTCAATGGGCAGAGCGCGCCCTCCGCACCCTTGCCCGAGGGCGCCCAGGGCCAGTCCGCAGTGCTACCTGTTAGTCCTGGACAACCTAATGTTAGTATTAGATACATGTTGCGTCTTAATTATAAAATACTAACGTTTGCCCGTGAAACTGTCCGTGGAATCACACAAATTAGTGAGTAGGGAAATATACCTGATGATTACATCAAATAAAAATCGTTGATTATCTGTCCCTGCCTGTTGTAAAGTGTGGATTTTTGTCACAACATTTAGTACCTGTCCCACCACTGGCTGATAGAGACTCAGATAGCTTAAAAATGACGTTACTGTCAGATAAGGGAACAAAAACCGATATTTCCATCAAATGTTACATATTGGATTGTTATCAGTTTATGAATTCTGACGTCATTTTTAAGCTATCTGAGTCTCTATCAGCCAGTGGTGGGACAGATCCTTAATGTTTTGAGAAGTTCATATTATTGTCTTTTAAAGGCATGTACTAGCAATAAAGCCGACTGTATATAGTAGAGGCTTAAGATTTGAGTGTAATGTTTTTTTTCGTATTGTAGATGCCGATGGGTCCCGGCGGCTCTGCGCCCGGGGGCTGGGTGATGCCGGTGCCCGGACAACCGCCTTACCAAAACTTATATCCTACTTTGAGTAAGTTTTATAATTATTTTTACCTCTTTAATTTTAAATTTACTTAACTAACAATTTGACAGTTGGGATTTTCAAGTTATTTTAAATTTTTTTTTACATTGAATAGCAAAATGATTTATAGACATATGTGAAAAAATGTTGTCATAATCAAGACTAAGTAATAAAATTGAATCTTGATACAAAGGTTTTTACCATTCCGGTCTTTTGTCCAAAGAAAGTATGGATGGATTGTATAACATGACTTATAGAAAAGTTTGAAGATTCTCCGTAACAAGGGCAGGTTGATAATTTTATGTCGTTTTTCACATTGCATTATTCATTTATATTAAAACTTTCAGCTCAACCAGTATACAAGGAATCTCCGTACGCTGCTCGCACCATACAGGACAGGGGTGATAGTAATCACGTGACTATAGCCGGGCCTGTCAACTTCGCCCCCTACTACCCCACGTACGCTGCAGTACAACCCCCTCCATTACCACAATAAAGTGTACACTGAGTTGGCACGTCAGGTTAAAGAGTACTCTTGATCACGATGTGCCAATTGAAAAGTATGCTCGTGGGAATTAACGCTATTCTGGCTGCTCCTAATGGTAACGATTTTTGATAGCTTTTTACAGTAATGGTGCTTGGTGCTGACATAAAAATTGGCTTTAACTGAATGTGTTGTCAAAATGTTTTTAAAATATTTTTTTATATATTTGTATTTGAATGTATACAAAAACTTTAAACAGTTACCAAAGTAAATGAACCATAAATTCTATGCAAATTCCCGAAAACTATCAACTTTTTCATAATTTTCATTATCATTCATCAAACAAAGTACATTGATATTTAATTATGAGCTCAAATATTATTTTTAAAGCTATTTCTTTTGGATAATTTTATTTAGGGTATGTCCCACAATTTTTGTAAATCGTCAGATAACAATCCAACGTATAAAATACTGTTCGCGACTTCGCCCTAGTGTACTTAAAACATAATAAAAATGTAACCTATGTTACTTGCAGATAACCTTTATAACGGTGAAAGAATTTTTGAAATCGGCCTAGTAGTTTTTGAGTTATTTCAATACATACTAAAATACAACTATTTCCCCTTTATAATATTAGTACAGATGTGATGGAAGTATCGGATTTTCGTACTCTATCTGACAGTGACGTCACTTTTAAGCTATCACAGCCTCTATCAGCCAGTGGTGGGACAGGCCCTAACTCTTTAAAAAGATCTATACTTTTAGTGTTATGTTAAATATATGTGCTGTTACAGATACAAATATATTTGGCTGTTATATAATTAGTGCCAAAGTTTAGATTCAACAATAATCTTTATGTATTCATTTTTTGTGTATTGTTACATTTCCTGAATTAAACGCATATTAGATACAACAGATATTACAGATTTAAAAACGTAATAAAAACGGTTATGTAAGAGCAGGCGTATACCTTTGACTAAACTATGACACAACTGTTGTGCGATTGTAGATTGTTTCGCAGCCTCAACTATTTAGTTGCACAACTAAAAATCGAGTAGTGTGCGCACCTCCATATAAGCTCGTAGAAATCAAAGCGAGACTAAACAGTTTTGTGATACTTAAGTCACGCTCTTAGGAATACAAACATTTATTAACAATTACAGTCTGAATTTGACTGTTTATTTGATGTTTTGTTCATTTTTCTTGTAAAGTATTATTCATGGAAGAATAATATGCAAATAATAGCAAGTTGTGTCCGTCCTTGTTTTTACCACATTGACTTTGTATGTTATTGCATTAAAAAAACAAGTGGAAAGCTAAATGAAACTTTAACAAAGAAAAAGGAAACTTTTTAAGTGTGAAATATAAAGTTACTAAGCTTTGGTTTGCAAAATAGATTTAAGATCTATTTGCTTGTTATTGTGATAGTAAATATCTTTACTCGCTTTTGTTCCAAAAAATATTGGTTATAAATCTTTGCCTAGTGCATTGGTATTAACGTTTTAGTATTATTAATTTTAGAATTAAAATTATATTTTTGGTTGTTAAATTGACGTTATAGATTTTTTCCTTTTTCTTTGTTTTGAATGTCAATTTTTTATGTAAATGGTTTTAAACCTTCTCAAAGTACATTTTAATGTACAAAATATATGTTGCAAAGTTATGTGAATAAGATTTATATATGTACCAAAATAAGTTAGAACTTTTATATACTGGCAAGTTATTGGATTTGTTAATTTTTTACTAACAAATAGTGTTAGATTTTTTATTATTATCTAAGGAATCTCGTATACAAATATTTTATTTACCTTCGCAAAGTCGAATATTTATATAAGTTGCTTATTCGCATTTATAATCAATTTTTTTATTTCGTTTTTTAATGTTAACATTTTATTAACCAAAATATATGAAATTATTTAAAAATGTATTTTTAATGCAATTCCTAATATTACATAGAATGCTATTTCTGTAATAGACACTCAGAGTATGTTATATGTAGTATTGAAGTATTGATTTTCTAGTTTGCGTAAAAATTGTTGTTTTCTGTCACATATGCAATGTCTTAAGGTAGAAGTATGGAAGAGGGCGCCGGTTCAGTGGTTTTATTTAGGCTGATTGATTACACACGTAAATTACTATTAACATTTATTTATTAAAAATAAGACCAAATTGACTTTTCCAAAATATATCCCATATATTCATAATTACTATATTTTTTGTGTATAAATATTTTTCAATATTCATGCAATTCGAAGACTAACGAAGACATTAAATTCATTTTGTTGTCAACTTTAATTGATTTTTTGTGTTTTCACTAGACAAGTTTATTCTTATTTCTGTTAAGTCATTTATGTATATACGAATCTTTGTATTGACATACAATTTCATATTAAAGTGAAATGGGTATATTTGTATATTTGAATAAAATATATATCGATTGGCGAAACTATTTCATTTTAATGTGAAAATAAGACAGTACATTGCTAAAGAATGAATGGATTACAAACTGCCGTTCCCTTAGTTTTATTCGTACAGTTCCACATGGAACATTTAGAAGATGACGTTTGAGAAACACCGAGACTTCGACGTGATGATCTACGAACATACACTTACTCCGTGGCGAGCTGACGGCACGAACAATTTCACAGAATCGACATTTGCTAATTTGAACCGATAAACAATTTCCAAGACAACGTCGGCCGAACTTATCTCTATCCCTGTATCAGAGCCGTAGGGTGTCGTGTGTCGCGTCGTGCGGGGCGC